CTAGCTAGCTAGCTAGCTAGCTAGCTAGCTAGCTATCTATCTATCTATCTATCTATCTATCTATCTATCTATCTATCTATCTATCTACATATTTTTGGAAATAACTGCTTAATTCTGTAATTTCTATTTCTCAGCCTGCATTTTTCTATTTAATATTTCTTCATATTATTCTTATTGTGATGTTCTAGCTTTCCATGGAGTGGTTGATTTGTTAGTTAACCAAGTAATTTCATTTTTTAAAAGGATATTTGCAAAATTGTTAGGTAGCAGAGGGTGGGCTGCACATATAATAATTAGAATATAATAGTAAAAGAGTAGTGGTAATGGAAAAGCCAAAGGCAAAAATGAACTGAGGCTTATGTAATGTAAGAGATGATTTTAAAACTTTTTAGTGTAATCTGTAGTTGGATGAATGAAGGGGAAGGGAGAAGGCTTAAGGTAGATATGCAATATTACCAGGTTGCATAAAACAGAACTGTGCAGTGACTTAAGAACAGAAATGACTGACAATTAATTGAGCCTTAGTTTGGAGAAGAAGAAAATACCAAGATAATTAAAGCAGAGAAGTGTTAGGAGACAGTAAGTAATATAACTGAAACAAGTTTTCAGGCTTAAACAAAAATAGTTTTCAGCATACTATTTGAAAAAAAAATGTAAATTCAAGAAATAAGGAAAATGGGAGGAATCTAAATGCTGTAAAGGCGAAGAGTTCCCAAAGCTGAAAAATTTATATTCTAAACTTGACGGCACAACATGTAGATTCCAAAGCAGATTATTTCCTCTTTAAACTGGTGGGTCCATAGCAGGGGTCCTCAGACTTTTTAAACAGGGGGCCAGTTCACTGTCCCTCAGACCGTTGGAGAGTGCGCACTTTGGGCCCTGATGAGTCTGCTGCTAAGCATGACAGGCAGCGACGGCAAAAATACCTGGCTGGCCGGATAAATGTCCTAGGTGGGTGGCATGTGGCCCATGGGCCGTAGTTTGAGGGCATCTGGTCCAGAGGGAGGTTCTGGTCCTAGTGTAGCTTGAGATTTCATCAAGTAGTCTGTAACGTGTGCCTGTGTTTTGGTATCCAGGCTAGAGAAATGTGTATTCTATGAAATTGTAGTTGGTTGGATTCTTGATTCAGAGACTAGTCATCGCTAAAGAATGTCAGCTGATCAGTCTGAAGGGATATGTGTAATAAAAAATAAGGAGGAATAAAAAAATTTAAATCGTTTGTTGGTGTCTAAACAAATAGTTGTGGAAGTATAGAATAGTGGAGACTTGTCTGAGCACCACTGTCAAAATGTCAGCAGTGTTGTAATGTGCTTGCTAAGGAAGTAAAGGTATTCTTAAATAACACTGATGCCAGTAGGGAGGACTAGAAGTTGACAGCCTCAGTCTGCATACCCCATTGACAATTATGGAATGTCATGTACAGTATGGGGTTTTACACTTTAAAAGGGTCTCAGACGTGTTGGAATATATCTAAACAAGTGGGAGGGTATAAAACCATTTCATATAGTTTAGAGAAGAGGAAACTTAGATATAGTTATGGAACTTTTCCAGGACTTGTGGAGCTGCTGGTGGGAGGGCAGTGGATGAAATTTTAGGAGAGCAGATTTTGGTTCAGGAAAACAAATTTGTAACATTTAAGATCTTAAGAGATGTCTAAAACAAATTGTATTGTTATTGGGGATATTTAAATAAAAGATACCTGTCCAAATTGGTGGATATTATTAGGAAAATTTTTATACTACTAATTAAACAAATAGTCTGAACTTTAGTTCTCTGAACCACTGCTGCAGGTTGATGAAAGTAGTGTGGAGGTGTGGGGACATTTGAGCATTATAATGTAATGTTTGATATAAGAAAATAATATATACAACATACTAGTTATGAAGCATTTCTTTGTTTCATAAAGGAGCACCTGTGAATCCACCACTTACAATGAAAGGACTATAGCATTCCCCAAACCCATACCCATTGCATATTTCTGAAATAGTTTGGCTATAATTACCAGCTTGCTAGGATAACAATAACAGAAGTTCTGATTGTCCGGACTATGGAATGAAAAGTTTTGGGGACCTAACTTTTTAAAACGTGGGGTTATGGGAGAAAATAATAAATGGGGTTCTTGCATATACTAAGGTTGGAAACCAGTGGATTCAACTGAATTATTCAGTAAGCAACTTCTATAATTATATGAGGCACAGCCCAGAGAAGAAATATCTAAATCACAAAAGAGTTACTGTTAGAACTGGAATCAGAACTTGTTCTAACTTGAGTATTGTAAATAATACATTAGAAAGTACTGATGATTTCCTACTTTTTTCCTATTGATAAAGGGAGTATGCAGCTGGTCAGACTTATCACTGATGAAGATTGTAAAGTCCTTGAGGACCAGAACTATGCCTTAGTAGTCTTTTCATTTCCATCAATACAGTCTTGTACATAATTTGTATTCTGTTAGGAAATTCAGCGATTATATCTTAGAGACTGAAAAAAATCATGGTAGAAAGATTTCTTACCTGTCTTTCCCATAATAGTAAGTTCTTTGGTAAGTGAACTTACCAAGACTTGTTTGACTTTAATGCTAATTAAACAACCTAGCTCATTCCTCTGTTCATTTACCTTCCCATCTACCCAACCCATCAAGTATTTATTGACCCACTGTGTGTCAGCCATTATTCTAGGACTTGTGGACACAGTGGGTAACAGAGTCTCATGGAACTTTGAGTTATTAGTCAAAGAATCACATAAATATTTATAGAAATACAACTTAAGTGGTAGATGTATTTTATCATCTAACTGGATCTCTGTATATGAAGGCTGTTGGTTTATATATTTATATTTTTTAATCTAGTCATCTGAATCTTCTGATAGTTTATAACAGATTCTTTTGGTTTTCTAAGTTTAATAAACTTGTTTACCTTGCACAAGATAAACTATATCCCCCCCCTTGATCTATTATATTACTGTGGTTACTTACAGTAATAGATTTTTCAATATTGAACTATTCTTGCACTCATGATATAAACTGTGCTTGGTCTTAGTGCATTTTTCTTTTAATATGCTGGTGGATTCTATTAATTTCAGATGTTTGCACCTATAGTTATAAACAAATTTTATCTAGGGTTTTCTTTTATGCTACTGTCTGGTTTTTATATTGGTTTTATGCTAATTTCATAGTAAGAACTGGGCAGTTTCTGAAGAAAAAATTAAAATGTTAATAAATTAATACTGAAAGTGCTTTTTAGTCCTGAGACCTGGACTAAATGATATATGTGTAATATAGAGTAGAGTAACTTTTTCTGACACCCTTTGCTTCATTACTTGCTATAACTATGTAAATTATGTAAATAATCATTTGTATTTAAATTACTGGCCGTTGATTTGAGAATTGCTGTCATATGGTAATTTAAGATAAGCACTAATTTGATACTGGACATTATTGGGGAAGACTTCATTATAAAATTATTAATAGAAGCATAAAAAACTTAGGGTGAAGTCTTTAATGATGTAGTCAAATCCAAAGTAATCTCTTGATTTTTGTCGATTTCATTTGCTATTGAGAGATTAGCTTTTGGTAAGCTTAGACGAGCATTGTTATTTAAGAGATAAAATCTGTAATATGGTGAATATTGCTATCACTGAAGCAGAAAATGTATTATAATGCATTTTTTTAACTGATTAAGATTTTATAACTGGGTAAGAACACCTTTGATCATGTCTTTTTGCTGTGTTGAATTTTGTTTAACCAAAATTGATTTAAATAGCTAGTTAGGAAAATTAAAGAGTACATTTGTATTGGATAGTTCTTAATATCAATATATTGAAATTTCATGTACAAAGTACATTTTTTTAAAGAGCACATTTTATTTTTAAATATTAATGGATGCAAGCCTTCTCCCCAAGGAGGACACAATCTGTAGGATGGAGAAATAGTTACACAGGTATTCAGCTAACCTTAATAATGACAATCACTTATCAGACAGTATGTTCCAGTGGACATGAGCCTATCTTCTAGTGTATAGTAGAAGCGTAATAAATAATTCTCGAAAGAATTTTCTTTATAGGACTTGAGTCATTGAAATAGTAGTATATTTATACCCAAGAACTGTAATATTGTTTTTTTTCTATTAAAACCTCATTGACTTTAGGGATTTCCACTTTCCTTTTTTATATTTCATTCATTAACCCAGTGTAGTTTGATCTTCATTATTGTCTTTCCCTTGAAATGCCTATGATCGCCAGTGGCTTAGGGGTGAAATTCAAGGTATCATGTTTTGTTCTTTACCTTACTGTACTTTTCTAGTATTAGACACCATATTGATCACCCTGTCCTTGAATCTGTCATTTCTTAGCTTCTATGACACCTCTCTTCCCTGGTTTCTCTGTCTACCTCCATTTCTTCTTCATTTGGATCTTCTTTTCTTAAGATTCATTCACTTCTTCTTTCTCCCTTTACCTTCTCTAAGACATCTCTTCTCATAGCTTTAACTAGTCTGTTGAACTTGCAATCTATTGTCTTTTGGACATCTCTGTTTGAGTATTCCAAAGGTATCTAAAAAATATAACAAAGTGGTCAGTTTAAATTTTGTTCAGATATATTAGTTCTGAAGCATAAAAGAGATTTTGGTATTAGTTTTGTCTCATAGGTATTCTTGTGATAGCTATTTGAAGCTATCATTTGGAATGACTGGCCTCAGTCATGGAAAAATTAGGTAAGATAACAAGTCAATAGCATGTTGGTTAAGAGCTCAGGTTCTGAAGTTAGTTTTAATAAGATATGTTATTTGATTGGTATAAATTTGATCTGTGGTAGCAATTAATGAAAGTTGTAGTCCTGTTTAACATGGGCTTAATCTAGAGAATGACAGCACAAATAGATTAGTAGCTCCTTACTCTAGTTTTAACACTTTATCAATGAAATCCTCCCCTGCCCTCTTTATTCCCCCTGGACTAGCAAGAATATTTTTTTTGTCTAACACATTTAAAATTTTTACTTTTAACAGAAATTAGCAGAGTACGGAAAGACATGTACAATGACACATTAAATGGCAGTACAGAGAAAAGGAGTGCAGAGTTGCCTGATGCTGTGGGACCTATTGTTCAGTTACAAGAGAAACTTTATGTGCCTGTAAAAGAATACCCAGATGTAAGTATATTTTGTTTTATTCAATTTTCTTCTGCTTCACATATTTTGAGAAGAGATATAGTTGGTGGCAAATACTTAAGCATTGTCAGCCACTTTTTAAAAAGTTCATGTGAGGAACTGGAAATGTAAATAATTGAGCATGTATAATTTTAAAAAGTTCTTTCTAAATGTTTCCATGTGATTGCTGCTTTGTCATTTTAGAAATGCATGATATAGACTGTTGTGGATTTCAGAAAGAGGCCAGGAACTATGGAAAGCACTTTCGCCTGAGTATCAAAGAGTACTAGCTACAACTCTCTGCTCTTCTTTAATCTGACCTCAGAGAAGCTTGGGCCACGTCATCCTTTCTGTAAAGTGAGGATGTTGGACTATGTTCCTTATAGCTCTGTAATTTTTATCAAAACTGCTGTTTGTAATCTGAATTTTTTTACCATCTTAGTCCATAGCTCAACTGTTCTCTGTAAGCATCTTGTTGCAAATAACCACCTTGTCCTATATCAGTTAATTTCTAAATCAGATTCTTTGCCTTTTGTTCCAAACCCCTATATGATATGGTCCATTATATTTCTCTGACCTCATCTTAAATAATTTTCCCTCTTCCTCAGGATACTGTAGCCATATTGGCCTTCTTCTGGCTTTTAGAACAAGTCAAGTCTATTCCCAGCTCTAGGGCCTTTATGTTAGTTGTACTCTTATCTTTACTGGCTGGCTTCTTCTTGTCATTAAGAATTTAGCTTAAATATCATTTCAGAGAGACCTCCTCTGACCTTATTTAAAAGCTAGCTGGCTACTCAAATGTTTCACATGAGTCTCATATTTTATCTGTACGAGTACTTAGTCTGGTATTTTCCTGGTGATATTTGTTTATTTTTTGTCTCTCCCAGCAGAATATAGGGTACATAAAAGAAGAACCCTACCATTGTTATTCACTGTATCCCCCATAGTATTGGCACACAATAGGACATTAAATAAATAAAGGAAAAATGGTGGCTTTTTGTTAGGTTTCAGAGGAGTTTTCTTTTAAAGCAAAGAAAAGAAAAGTTAGTATTACGGTATCAAAAATGTGATGTGTGCTCTAGTATTCCTTGATTATATTGGACAGGATACTAGTCTGCAATGGCAAATAAATGTCTTAAGATTAATTAATGGAAAAAAGCTTTAGTATTTCACAATTTGCATTTCTAATACAATTTTCTTTAAATCCTGTACATTTCCTCTAATTTTATAACTGTTTTTGGTAGCAAATATACAAATAGTCCTGGATAATGTATGCAAAAGACAAGTTCATTGGAAGATTATTGTGTAACATGAAGAATGAAAAGAATAGATGGAGAACAAAACTTTTATGGAAAGCCAGGAACCAGGGCATCTCTGAGAACTTCAGCAGCAGGGGTTCATGGACTTTCTCTGTCAAGAGTCTTGCACATAACTGGGCATCAGTGTCTCCCTGACTTTATCGTCAAATTTCAGATTCTTGGAAGAGAGTGTGTATTTTGGGCCAATCTGCCATGAGTAGGGCAAGTGAGGTTACTTACCATAACCTAGATATGACCACTATGGGCCCACCCTGGGTATAGGTATTATTCCTAAAAATGGGAAATTGTGACTTGTGCAGCTATCCCAATTGTCTGCTACTGTTTGGTGTTTTAGTATCCCCTGAAGGATATCGACTTTCTCCTCTGCTTGTTTAAATCCTAAAGGATAAAGTTTCAGAAATAATCATTAATATGTAAGATCATAAGACTTGAAAGAGAGAGACTATAACCTTGATCAGTCTGGTTCTCCTCCTCCTCTCCCCTCTCTCCCCTCCCTCACCCTTCCTCCCTCCCTACCCTCCCCCAATATCCTCTCCAAGGAAGGGATACTTATTCTGTGTTATTTGAAAGATACATGTTCCGTACAGTCTTCTAAAGTCAGAGCTTGAGTCTAGAGGGCACTTTTTCACTATATTCCTTTCCTCATTCTGCTAGTTGTGACTCATTGCTATGAAGCTATGGTTGCTGGCAGGTGTGTTGGAACATAACATTGTCTAGATCAGTGGTTCTCAAAGCGTGATCCCTGGACCATAGTATCTATACCTTCTGGGAACTTGTAAATAAGTTTTCAAGCTCCATACCAGATGAGTTGAATTAGAAACCCTGTGGGGTAAGGCCTAGCAATCTGCTCTTTTAACAAGCCTTATAAGATGATTCTAATGCATTCCAGAGTTTGAGAATCACTGCTCTAAGTTTGTTTTTTGTTTTTATTTTTGACTAGAATAAGCCAGACTAACAGGTGGATGATCTTATACATGGTCATTTTGCTAGGCATTGTTTCAGGAGGTAGGTAAATGATGAACTAAACAGTGTTTCTGCTCTCTTATGAAGTGGGCATTTCAGTGGCAGAGACAGACAAAAAGCAAATGAACACAAACTTTTAGGGTGTAGTCAGTGCTATGGAGAAACTAAAGTAAGGTAAACAGATGAATGGTGATTGTGTGTGGTGGGAGGTGTTCATTTTTAAGGGTAACCAAGGAAGGAATCTCTTATGAGATGATGGCAATAGAGAGAAAGGAACAGAATGATGAGGAGGAAGGCAGGAAAACTATCTGTGGGAGAAACATCTCTGGCAGAGCAAACAAGTGCAGTGGCTCAGGTATTAGTATGCTTGGGAAGTGTGGGAAGATGTGAGATCGAAGAGTTAGCAAAGGGGCAGTGCAGAGCACAGTGGTCAGAAGTATGAATTCAGATGCAGAATTCTGTCTAGTTCTGCCACTTGTTTTGTGACCTTGGGCAAATTACTTTTCATTCCTGATATCCTTGGTTTTCTCATTTCTGTAATGGAGATACTAAGTCTCTCACAAGGGTTATGAAGACTAAATGAGTTAATAATGTGTAAAGCACTTGGAAAATGCCTTTATGCTGTGTTTTTAAGCATGTAAGCTCCATGAGGGCAGAAATTTTTTTATCTGTTTTTTCAGTGCTATATTCCCAGTGCTTAGAATAGTGTGTGGCAAATGGTAATTGCATATAAATATTTGTTGTGCATATTTGCATGAAACCCATACTTTCAAATATTGTGAAATTTTTTTTCTTTAAACCTGTTGTCTTTTGCATTTGCACATAGCAAGTTACTTATCGAAGTGAGTGTTAGTTGGAGATAGTGTTTTGGAATTGGCTATGTAGAGTTCTGAAACTGATAAAAGAAGAAGGCCTTAGAATTCAGTGTCTAAGAAATGACATAGTGCTGTATGATGCCCTTCACAATGTTTTTGAACCATTGGCTTGGTGATGTGAGAATGAGAAGCTAGCCCATTGAATGAAGTAGCCCATTGAAAAGTCATTAAAAATATTTTACAAAATTTATATTTTTTAGTAAAGTAGACTTTTATTGTATCTCTACTGTGTACCAAGAATATCCTGGGTGGGAATATTAATCCAATTGAAAAACTCTTAGATATAGTCAAGTTAGTGGGGGTTTTGAGTCAGGCCTGATTTTTGAATCCTGGCTTACCCTTTTAGTGGCTGTATTTGTCAACAATTGCCACAATAATGCTCCATGGTAAAACACCCTAAAACTTAGTGGTTTAAAATAATAAGCATTTATTTCCATACTCGTGGGTCTGTATATTGCCTGAGCTTCTGCTGATTGAGGCTGGGCCTAGGCTGATCTAGACTACATGGGGGTAGGTTTAGGTCTTCTTTATTTATGTTCCTGCTAGGTCCCAGGCCAAATCAGGCATTGGCTTCTCAGGGCATGCTGTTAATCATGGCTGATCACTGGAATGCCAGAGCCAAGCTAAATTGCATCAGCATGCGTATGGCCTCTGTGGACATTGAGTATCTGGAGATATTTTTAGTTGGCTAAACTTGGGTGGGGGTACTATTGGCATCTAGGGAATAGAGGCCAGGGTTTCTGCTAAACATCCTATAATGCACAGGACAGCCCCCTACAACAAAGAATTATCAGCCCAAAATGTTAGTAGTGCTGAGGTTGAGAAACACTGTATTAGCCATATCAAGTCACTCTGTCCACAGTGAGGAGGGGACTGGAATAAATATTTACTGAAAAATATTAATAGTTGAGATTATCACATTGACTTTGAGCATATGATTACTTTTTAGAATCTGATTCTTTGCTTATAAAGTCATATGATCTACCTCACAGGTTTGTTTGGAGAAATAGAGATAACAGATACAGGCACCTGATAGAGCAGACACTCATTATGGTTTGTGTGATCATGAATAAGAAAAAACATCTTATTCTTGAAGGAGCTCATAGTCTTGTATGAAAGATAAAATACAGTGTATTCAATCATTTAAGACTACCATACGTTCGTAGAATGACAGTCGTGAAAGAAGATTAAAGTTATGTTTAGACCATCAAACTGGTAATTTGGTTGGTTAAGTTATTAAGGACTTTTTTGAATATGCAGGGTCTTACAAATGGTGCATGGATAAGAGTTAACTCTGATTTATGTAAGTAAAAAATACTATGTTTCCAATGAGTCAGCAATAATTTTGTCACTAAATTTGCTTAGTTATCAATTTTGAGTTGTTACTGTTTTATGGGATCTGCCAGAGTAGTAAATAAGTTACAAATATTGGCAAGGTCTTGCTGTTTAGGATATTAATTGTGCCGTATATACATGACCGGATTAGATTGTTAAACTGTTGACTTGGGACATGACTTGATGATTCAATTGTAGTGAGATTTTTTTTTTATTTATTTATTTTTTTTTTTTTGAGACAGAGTCTCGCTTTGTTGCCCAGGCTAGAGTGCAGTGGCGTCAGCCTAGCTCACAGCAACCTCAAACTCCTGGGCTCGAGTGATCCTTCTGCCTCAGCCTCCCGGGTAGCTGGGACTACAGGCATGTGCCACCATGCCCGGCTAATTTTTTATATATATATCAGTTGGCCAATTAATTTCTTTCTATTTATAGTAGAGACGGGGTCTCGCTCTTGCTCAGGCTGGTTTCGAACTCCTGACCTTGAGCAATCTGCCCGCCTCGGCCTCCCAAG